CATATTAACAATTAAAGAATTAAAACGATAGACTTGAAATAAATAGTCACAAACAGAATATTCACAGGACACTCAACATCCCTCAAACTCTCTTCACTTTTGGCTAATTCTCTGGAGGCCTATAAAGGGATGCAGTCAAGGAATCCTAGAGAGAGGTAAGTGCTGGAAACTCGAGTGTTTGTATTGTGTTTTTGTGTTTGTTTGTGTGTGTGTTTTGTGTTGTTGTGTGTGTGTGGTTTGTGATTGTGTGTATTCCCGTAGGTCTGTATTTGCAGACACGTTACTGTGTTACTGAGGTTGCCTTATCATGTTCCGATGTTCCGAACTCTGAGACTGGATGGTGAGGTAACAGAGTGATTAATGTCAAATATAGATACATATAATCAATACATTAGGAATCCTACAGACTTATCTCTATTTGCTATATCTTAAAAACAAAAGCAAAGAGATCTGACGTAGAAGAAAAACGGAAGTTAGGATCATTTTCGAGTATGAGCTTTTTGAAATAAATAGTAAAAAAATGGTAACTGTGTAAGAGATCGAAGCACGCCGGTGAATAAATCCGATACAATTCTATAGTTGAAAATTGTAATACAGAAAAAATACGACGATATATTACCTTGCTTAGTAATGGGACACTTTTAAAAATTAACAACAATCATTAATGCAGCTTGATAAATGAAAAATTCTTCAATTTCCTTTATATATTTCTCCACATAACCACATTCTTTGTCAATAACGATGTCTCATCTTCATTTTAAAACTAAATTACCAACATTTCGAAGCACTCAACATATCATAAACTTCTAACTTTCTAAACTGCTTGTACAAGAAACCTCGCTTCACAGATCCACATAAGCGAAATCTCTCGCTCGACCACAAAACTCACATTTCTAAACTTTTTTTTCCACTCGGCGTATCTCCTCAGAAGTCCACACCCAAGTTTTAAAACCAAAGTAGCTCTCTACTATCTCCATCTCTCACAAAGACGAGAAGAATGTTGTGTGGTTTAGCTAGAAGACACTGTTCTCGTAAGATATGTTTGTTGTTGTAGGATTTTTCCTTGTGTCCAGAGATTGCCAGAGTAACCAGTCGAGTAGTGATGGAATTAGGAGGTATAGCTAGTCAGTCATGCCTCTCAGTGTTTGACATTGTATGTTTGCAAATTAGTTATATTCTGCCCGAAACAATAATATAGGCTTATTTTTATTATGTAAACCTAACATTCCAGATCACTATTCGTCCCAACAAAGGTGGTGAGTTGAATACAGTTTCAGGTGATCAAAAAAAACTTTTATTTCACATACAGTTTCGTCACTGTAATGTCAAAAACATGATATTAAGTATTGGTTTACCTTATATTTTCTAATTTTTGTGTTATTTTCCTTTAAATAACAGTAATTGAAGGTGATTTAACCCAGATTAACTGACAATTCTTGCTTTTGCTATTCAACTTGGTTCTTCCCTTTCATGATGAAGCGGAAACAAGAGAAAAGGGAGAAGAGAGAAGAGTCGAAAAGAAAACTCACCATGGATAATAAACGAGGAGAGAAGGGAAATTCCGAAATTTTCACTGGGGATCTTTAATTCACTTTTTTTCTCTCACTTTCCAACTTGAGAGACAAGAATATATAAAGGGGGAACGCTCCGGAAATCCTTATGTAGGGGAATTCAAGCCAGAGTGAAATATTTGACATAATTAATAATTTGGGTCCTAGATTCCTAATTATTTTGACAAAAGCCAAAATGATAGGCGACTTACAGGCTCTCTCTCTCTCTCTCTCCTCTAGCCATCCTCTCTCTCTCTCTCTCTCTCTCTCTCTCTCTCTCTCATCCCTCTTCTCTCCTCTCTCTCGTCTCTCTCTCTCTCATCCTCTCTCTCTCTCTCTCCTCTCTCTGCGTGTGCAAAGTGGATCAGCGCTGTGTTTGTATTTTTTCACATCTTTCCGTCTTGTTTTCTTGGTATGCCTGTCTAATTGCTTATAGCATTGTTTTGTGTGTGGTGTTCTGTATTCTTCTCACACATCTTCGAAATTCAAAAATTGTTAAAATCAGTGTCATGATTCTTTGTATTTTTTTCTTTGTATTTTTTTCTTTTATGTCTCTTGAATGACCCTTACGATCCCAATCATTCCAGTATCGTTCTCCTTCAAGCCGTTTTTATGACAATGATGTTTCCCAAGTTTTGCATTGTCCCCTGATGCCTTGTCCTGATGCAACAGAGCATGATATCGCCATGTATAGAAAGAAACCTGATTTGGATCGGAGGGTTATATTGCTGTTACACCTGCTTATTTTTGCGTTTCTATGACATGTCCTAGCTTTGTGTCCATAGAGCATTAGGCGCCTTTATTCGATGATAACTGCGAGAATTTCTTGACATTTGCCGTGTGTGTGTGTGTGTTTGTTGTGTGTGTGTGTGTGGTGTTTTGTGTGAAACATAATTTTCATGTTATTTGCACTCAAAATAACCAAATCACTCGGGGAAAAAGTCTAGGGTCCAAGATTTGATTTTTTTTTTTTTTAGATCTTCTTAGAATCCCTTTATGTAGTCGGTATTTTTTTTAACTCAAGAAACCAGTATTTGAAGAACATAAGAAAGGCTTTTATTCTTTTTGTAAGGCCAACGAGATATTTATATCACTTTGCCTCTCACAATAATTCGTTAACTTTTTTTTATAAAGAGACAGATTATGTGGACATTTTTACGGCCTTTTGTAAAGAAGGTGTTTGGTGTCTCTTTCTACACAGCTGTTTCGTATCATGGATGTGGCTT